TCTCTCTCACACACACACACACACACACACACACACACACACACACACACACACACAAGTGGGTGTGTAGAGTGGGTTTTATGACTGTGTCAGATTAGTTTCTCAGAGTTACTGCCGTTCTTGTCAGGGGGTTGGGCAGACAGTTTGTGTGTGTGTGTAGAGTGGGTTTTATGACTGTGTCAGATTAGTTTCTCAGAGTTACTGCCGTTCTTGTCAGGGGGTTGGGCAGACAGTCTGCTAGGATTGCACGGTTGGAGTGAGTAAAAGTCGACCACTTCTCTCTCTATGGGGTATCGCTAACTCTGGGCGATGTGGTGAGTGCTTATCCATCAGTCAAATGCATCCTGGGCGTTCAACGTCCTGATGAGTCGGTGAAAGTCCGACGAAACAGTCTAGCACAGTCGTGCTTTTCTTGAGTGGTTAGCGAATATGACAACACACGCACACACACACACACACACTCTCGCGCCCGCGTGCGTCACTTAGCTCAATCAGTGCAATGAGTGAGTTACGCGCGATGGATTGTAGACAGTCCGCCACACACGATGTCTATGAAATTCCTTGTAGACGGTCCCCTTGATCGCCCCTCACCAGTGAGGATGGGCGTCCCCGCGCCACTCGCCAAATGTGGAAAAGACAAAATTTAGCGGATGTGTCGTTCCACGTTTTCGGGGGATACATTCTCATTTTGCGCGTCGGTGAGAGGTGCGGCTAGGCCCGATAATAACTCCGTTCACTCGATCGTGAAAAGAGCCGGCTGTTGAATTTGAGGGAAACAAAAAAACAGAGCCCTCGCTGACCAAAGGCCACTCGAACTTGGGCCGATTGGTTTGATCAGGGGACCTGTTCTGTAGACAGTGCTTTTGCTCTGATGTCACTTGTCACTTGGTTTCTTACCGTTCTCAAACTGGGGCCTACTGCTATTTTCTGTTTCTTTGGCCCCCACTGTCTCATTGGTCATCCCCTCTTGTAGTTCCTGGTCTTTGAACTCTGTGCATTCGTTTGGGGACTTGCGGCTCTGTCTTCCAACTCTGTGCATTGTTTGGGGACTTGTGGCTATGCCTTTTGACTTGCCAGATTTTCATAGCATCCTGGCTAATTGTACCCATGATCCATGTGAAGATTGACGTAGTTTGCTAAGCTGCTGTTTTTCATTCGGTGCTATGGTCTCAATCGCGTAACCTTTGGTCTATCACAGGAGCTTGTTGAATTTGGCGCCCTTTGTGTGCCCACTTAAGGTCTGCGTAGTGTTTTTTTTGACTAACTGCGTAGTGTTTTTGGACCTGTTCTTGGTTGATATTTGTCTCATTGTGAAGTTCCCTAGGTGTTTTACCATCTAAGCTGCTTCTAGACCATTTTCCAGTCTTGTGACCTGAGTCTACGCAACTCTACGGAGGCATCATTGTCTTCGCACAAGATAAATAGTTTCACTTAGACCGACATTGCAAGCGACTAAGACCCCTGATGACTGCTGATTACCGGCCAGCCGAAACCGATCGGGTCACTACGTCGGACGGACTTCGGTCCCTTTTGCCATCAGATACTTCATGTTCTTCTTTTTAGTCGTGGCAAGGTAGCGTTTGGGAGTTTGGTTACTTTCAACTCATGCTACTCCTCTCTCTCTCTCTCTCTCTCTCTCTCTCTCTCTCTCTCTCTCTCTCTCTCTCTCTCTCTCTCTCTCTCTCTCTCTCTCTCTCTCTCTCTCTCTCTCTCTCTCTCTCTCTCTCTCTCTCTGTGTATATATATATATATAGTTATCTATCTATCTCCTTGTCTTTCTGTCCCTGTTCTTGACTTGTCTTTCAGTCTCTGCTCCCTACTCCCTACACCCAACTTGTTCTCCTGGTCGCTGCCAGCTCAGTTTGCTTATTGTGAGTGTTCAGTCGCTTTTGCTATTGACACTTCAACACACGGAGTAACTGAAGGGGGGGTTAAACTACGACCGAGTGGCTTCAATTCCATCAATACCTCGAAAGCAGTCAATATAATGGCTAACAACAACAACATGTCGTACCCGCATACTTGTTTTAACTGTGGCCAGCCCGGTCACTTCACGGAATGGTGTCCTAATCACGTCGTTAATCCCAATTTTGCCATTGGGCCATCTCAACCTCCTTTTCTCACTTAATCGAACTCTAGTTCTAATACTAATCTCGCTTCTTCATCATCTGCTATCCGGTCTAAAGGTCAGTATGGTCGTGGCGAGCTGCGCCAGCGTGTTGACACTTTGGAAGACATCGTGGTGAGGATGAAGGTTCGTCATGATGCAAAAGAGGAGGAGGATCGGAACAGTAAGGATGAGGAGGAGAAGGCTAAGAAGGAGAAGGAGGATGAGGAGAGGAGAACGCAGAAGAGAAGGGATTGAGAAGTGTTCCATCGTAAGATTGTCGAGACTGTGAACACAAAGCTTGATCATGTCTGTGAGGTGTTGAAGGAGTCAAAAGGCAAGGATGGTGATACGGTTGAGAAGCTACGAGCTGAGGTGGATGAACGTAGACGTTGTCGTATTGCATCTGCGACCGCGGTTTCCGTTACTAGAGCAAGGTGCCAAAAAAGGATTTGATTGAAAAACTTTTGTGTGAGCAAGAGGATTTGAAAATGCGATTGGCGAGTATTTTCATGACTGATCAACACGTGCCTGCTATGGAAGGTGAGCTTGTGGGGCTGTGCAAGGAGCGTGATGAAGTTGTGGTGTCAACCGAAGCTTGGAAGAACCAGGCGTTACAACCTGGTAACAAGCGTGGTAGTATTGTGTTGCCCACTCCATCTTCATAACCACGGGTGTGGTGACGGTTTACTCCTCTACGGTCTGCCTGTAGATCTCCAACTGACGTGATCTGGCAGGCCAATGACGAATATCGTGAGCTTTCGCAAAGGCATTAGGAGGAGGTTGATACATTGAAGGAACTGCGAGCACGAGATCTCAACAGAGCTAGGGAGGCTAAACATGAAGTCGGGCAACTGAAGGAGGCGTGAGCCAAATCCGAGAAGGAAAAAATTGTGCAGTCAACTCCTCGCTATGAGTTTCGTACTAGGTCTGATGAAGCCGCCTGTGCCAAAGAAACCACGGGGAGGAAAAAAAGGCTATGAGGCCGTTGAAGATTGACAAGGTGAACTTAAAGTTTCTGTGTGCTAAGGAAGGAGTGGCGTACTCTACTCTGGATGTGGCTAAAGAGAAGCTCGTCAAAAAAAGAATTGTACGTGCGTTTGAGTCAAGTTCAGAGGGTGAAACGAAACGATGTGGTAGCCATCGAGGAGGTTTCTGATGACGTGGTCGGGGTTGGATCAGGTTGTAAGGAGGTAGACGATGACTCTATCTCTTCGTTCATTTGTACCTAAACGCGGCTAAATTATGGTCTATTGGGAGACGTTGCTGTAGCATTCTCTCTCTCTCTGATGACTTTCTTCGAAGATCGTGCATTAGTTTTCTTTTATGCCTTATTGTGATCACTCTCATCTCATTGGATCTGATACCTTGGGCGACTAAACCTAAGAGTTATGTTGTGCCCTTGGCGAGGGAGGAGTTTGGCCTTATTAATCTGAAGGTCCGCTAGACTATGTATTGGTTTCTCCGTTTAATCGACATGTGTGTTTCAGCAGTATGACGCATAGCTTTCATGAAAGGTGGAGGGAGCATGTATATCGTGCTTCTAATCGTGGTCTGTCTAATGAAAGATGTCGCAATAGATGACTGTGAGGATGTGTTGTGCATATTTATGTTGCAATTATTATTCTACATTAGTCGTCTAATGATTCATTCGATACTGAGAATTTTTTTATTCGTTTTTTTCCTTCTTCACTTAATTCACGAGATAAGTGCGTTCGACACAAAAGTATGGACCTCGAAAAAAAACAAAACGACAACGTTCTAAGCATCAGGAAAAATTGTTGACGTTCGTACTGTTGGCTGATAAAATATTTTTAACATTCTAGTCCTTTGTTGGTATTGCATCAAATAGTCTCCTTCGTATTCTGGACTATTGTCGTGACAATGACATTCTCTTATTGCTCGGTCGTGTGCAGAGGTGGTTAGGTGAAAATTGGTCGCTGGAAAGTATAGGTCATGCCTGAAAGCAGCACGCGTAAGTTGAAGAACGGCTTCGGTGAAGCAAAAGGTAAGGTTAGGATAACGGACTCGATACGTGAAGTTGGTCTCATTCCGGGCCATACGTTATTGTCCACGTCTCAAGCAGGCGGCGGACGTATACGTGGACAGTAAGCCACGACTGAATTTGTGCTCGATGTCAATAGCAAGCTCGAGACTTGAGAATCCATGCAGCACTAGATTGCCTGAGAAAGGTACTCACACTTGAACTTGAAAAAGAACATATGATCCTTCGATGGTGATTTCTAAATTTTGTCGGGATCCATTACGGGTTTCTAAAGGATGACTGGTCAGTGGAGTCGTTCTTCACTTTCAATCAATTGTTGTCATCCTTCGTCGTTGTTCGTTTTTGAAACTGCTACTGGTGTTTTTACTCAGTAATCCTTTGTCCAATAAAACTCTATATAAGTGCAGTCTTAACGATCTTATTCTATCTTTATCTGTTGTTCGTACCTTCCAGGAGAAGAGGTCGATCTCGGTTGCGCTTTATCATCTCTAATGTGGCACGCTCGATCTTTGGTATCCGTATTCGTGAACGCCTAATTGTAAGAGAGGTGTACGATTCGTTGTTGGTAAAATCCAAATTTCGTGAGATTTGTGTAGAAT